ATTAAAGATTTAACTGTATCGAACAATTAACACAAAATCTATGTACCCCATCGAGATGATATTACGATAGTTTAATTCTACGTCAAATTCTACATTGATTTAATACATAACATGTTAGCATTGGATACGTTAAATTTCATGAAAAAAGTGGTCACCCGAAGTCGGACAGCCATATGTGAACAATTAATCGACTCCTTACTTAACATAGTTTCATAACACATGACATAACATGTTGATTTGTTAATAATTAAAGTGAACATGAACACACACCCTCACACGCCCTCACACACCACTTCGAACCCACTTCAGAATTTTATTTGCAAATTAACTACCTTGCTCATCTCTCTTTTTGAGGGTACAGTTTACACCCAATTCATGTACAATGTACAGTAGAATACATTTAATGGCCCGGGAGTTAAAGGTTAACTTTTTAACACGTTTAGTTGGCATTACTTAATATAATAAATAGGTTATAATTACAGTTTTTACCACAATTTTACTACATTGTAATATATTAATAAATAACATCAAATGTTTCTTGTAATTATATTTTAATTAATATATTAATTTGTAATAATAGCCGTACGGATGTCCATCAGCCGGAAAGTGCAAAATAACTACAATTACTAGAAAATATTGTCCCAAATGTCGGTTTGATAAGTGTTTGGCCGTTGGAATGAAACGGGTATTTATTTTAAAAATTAATTGAGTATTTAATTAGTTTAATCATTTCTTATAGGAATTCAGACCAAAATACAATAAAACTGAAAAACATAAGCAAATAATTAACAAAAACACACCAAATGTTAAACATTGTATTGATTCTCAAAAGGCAATTGAATCTCAAAAAATTGAAACTTTATGTCAAACCAAAACTACTACTGAATTGATTGCAAATATAACAAAAACAATTAATTACATCACAAGTGATACAAAGGATTCAAACAATTCAGAGACACAAACAATGATAACAACAATCACTCCCTTATATAAAGAAATCATTGGTTCTAACGGTTTGAATGAATTGGAGATCCAAAGGATTACTGAGTTGTCGGTGGCGTCCGATGTATACAACTATCCATTGGCTAAATATATAATTGAAATACGAGATGAAAATGAATTATTCCGTATAATTAAAGTCAAATCCGAGCACTTTATTAGGGATACCATTAAATTCACTAAAGGTTTGCTATCGTTTGCCAACACCTGTCCCGACGACCAGTACGTGCTGTTCAAGTCCGGGGCCTTTGAAGTGATTTATATGCAATACTTAGACACTTACGATAGGGATCGGGAAATATTTCACATTCATCTAGTGCGTATAACTGAATAATTTTAGAAAGTTTTGCTATATAGCAATTAAATTATTGTATTGTACCATGTGTGTTTTTTAGGATAAGGAGCATTCATTGTTGATTACACTGCAGTCATATAAGGAGACGGACTTTAATTATTATAATATGTTTAAGCGATTCTTGGATTCAATTATTCCCGAATTACACAGCGATCCCATTATTATGAATTTGGTATACAATTAATATTAATTGTAGAATTATAACGAATAATTTGCAAATAATATATTACTTACAATAGCTAACAGTTATTGCACTCTTCAGCCCAAATCGACCCGATTTGAAACATAGACAACATGTTAAGTAAATAAATAAATAATTTGTGCATTTATTTCATTAATAATTAATAACAATTAAATAATGTTTGTTAGACTCGAACAACAACTGTATATATATTTATTGCAAAAATACTTATTATGGAAATGCCGGTCGAAATCGGAATCACAAATAAAAGTCAAAAAGTTAATGAATTTATTGAATGAATTGAAAACAATGTGTGAGATTAAACGGATTAGAGAAATTGAAAGGATTAACACAAAAGGTTTGACACAATATTACGGTCCGCTTCTGAAAGAGATTCATGGATTTTGAAATTAATTCAAGCAATTAATTCATTAATTAATTACAGTACAACTAATTTGTTTATAACCTGAAATTATTAAATACCTAAGGTGGAAAATATTGGAATACATTGTAATAATTAATTTTTGTACTTATATTAAAACAATATAATGGGATTAGCAATAATTATCTTGATGTTTAAAAAGTTTTCTAAAGTCAAATATGAAATAAATGTAAAATTATTATCAATTGTTTGGATATTTCAATAATAAAGTTATTAATAAAGAATATTATTTAATGAAGTTTTAATCTCGATTAGTTATTAGTGTAATATTATTAATACTACATATCAAGGTAATACATTTATTTAATAAATTGGTTAGAATTTGTGGCAATACTAAAGTAATTGGTATAAAATGTTTTGTTAATAAATTATTATTTATTTCTTAATATTTAGGTCGAAATTACGGTCAATTGATTTGTGAATCTTGTAAAATGTTTTTCAGTCAAACATGCCTTTAATCTAAGGTAGTATGTATCACTTTTTGTCCATTATTTTTTAAACAAGCCTAGTTGTCATTATTTAATACCATGAATAAGTTAATATTACAGTTTTTATAACAATTTTACAACATTGTAAAATATTATTATAATACATTGTAACTATATTTTAATATTTATATTAATTTTTGAACTTGTATTTAAACAAACAATGGGATAAATAATAACTATCTAGATGTCTACTCTATGGAAAAAGTTTAATTGCGTTAAATATTAAATAAATGTGTAATTATTAGCAATTATTTGAATATTTTTATGAGAAAGTTATCGCAATAATAATATGAATATTATTTAATCCAATTTTAATGGATGTTATTTATTAATGAAACATTATTAATGCTAAATATTAAATAATATTATTATTTATTTAATAAATTATAATAAAATGGACAGAATTTGTCGTATTTGTGGCGATACTAAAGGAATTGGTATAAAATATTTGTTTGCTATAAATTATTTTGAGTTATTTGATTGTCATTTAAGCCAAAATTATGGTCAATTGACGTGTGAATCGTGTAAAATGTTTTTCATAAGAAGGTGCTTTAAAGTTAAAGTAGGCTTGGCAGTTACGGACCATTAACTTTTTATCACGTTTAGTTGGCATTACTTAATATAATAAATAAGTAAAAATTACAGTTTTTACCATAATTTTACAACATTGTAATTTATTAATTAATAACATCAAATATTTCTTATAATTATATTTTATTTAATAAATTACTTTGTAATAATAGCCGTACGGATGTCCATCAGCCGGAAAGTGCAAAGTAACTACAATTACTAGAAAATATTGTCCCAAATGTCGGTTTGATAAGTGTTTGGCAGTAGGAATGAAAAGGGTATATAATTTGTAAATTGATTGCTTATTTAATTAGTTTAATCATTTCTAATAGGAATTAATTTTAGTCGACTTTGTGTTTATGTAAAACCTTATATTTATTAAAAACAATAAATTATAATACGTTATGTATGATTAGATTTTAAATTGTCCCAGTGCATTTCACAGATTTAGGATAGAAGTGGTGTATTCCTAAAAGTTTCCTATTATACTAACAATTGCATTTAATAAATGAGAATTACTAAATGCTTAATTATTGATCAAATTTAACAGAAAATTTTTAATGATACTTTGATTTGAAACAGTATTTATTGAGTGTCAAAACAATGTCATTCATTTGTCTGTATGTCTTGTCCTTCCGGAGTAATCCTCTCCCGAAGAAGTCCACTCCCGAAATAGCATTGGCAAT